AAAGAATAGTGAACTCTTTTTTTCTCAGCCCCTGTGACGAGGAAGAGACAAGTAAAATCATTGGTAGCCTTGAAAATGGGAAGGCAAGTGATATCTCTGTTAAAGTCTTAAAAAAGAGTGTAAATTATCTGTCTGGTCATATCTCTAGATTCTTTAATTGGTTCTTGGACAATGGGGTCTTTCCAAACAAGCTTAAAACGGGCTCTATTACACCAATTTATAAAAAAGGAGACTCACGATGCCTTGATAACTATCGACCTGTTTCTACATTACCGATATTTGGAAAAATACTTGAAAAAATAATCTATAATAGGTTATATAATTACCTCAGTGCTATGAACGTGATTTATGATCGACAATTTGGTTTTAGAAAACAACACTCAACATCTCATGCCGTAAACTATTCTGTCAATAAAATACTTAATGAGATTGAACAGAAAAATCATGTAATTGGAATATTTATTGATCTAAGTAAAGCATTTGACACAATTGAGCACGATAAACTCCTGCATAAACTTGAACACTATGGAGTAAGAGGTATTGCACTGAAAACTCTTGCTAGCTATCTAACAAACCGTAGCCAAGTAACTTCTTTTCAAACTGAAAAGTCGGACAAGTGTTCAGTTGAGTATGGTGTACCCCAGGGGTCAGTGTTAGGACCTCTACTATTTCTGATTTATATAAATGATATTGTGAGCTCCTCAAGCTTGGCTGAATTCGTCCTGTTTGCTGATGATACAAATATTTTTGTGATAGGTAGTTCAGCACAGGAAGCTTTTGAAAAAGCTAATCATGTAATGAAACAAGTCAGTAACTATATGGAGTCTAACAAGTTACATATAAATGCAGGGAAAAGTTGTTATATGCATTTTCAGCCAGGTTTGTCAAGAGCAACACAGACCTGTGCCAGAACACGGCCCTTTAACAGGAATCTAACGATTTTAATAGATGGCAAAAAGCTAGAAAAAGTTCAATGTACAAAGTTTCTTGGGGTGATAATAGACGAACAGCTAAGCTGGGAACCACATCTTAATCATTTATCTTTAAAGCTGAACTCCAGTATTGTATCGATTAAGAGAATTTGCAAATTCATTCCCAAATCTGAATATTTGAAACTATACAATGCTCTTTTTATGTCACATCTTAGCTATTGTATAAGTTGCTGGGGTGGGATCCCTAAACATAAGCTGAATAAAATCTTTGCAATTCAAAAACGATGTATAAGACTGCTATTTGGTAACATTCCCAATTTTGATCATAAAGAATACTATTTAACCTGTGCACGTTCAAGAACTTATAACGAACATATGGCTAGCAAGAACTACTGTCTTGAACACACTAAACCGCTATTCACCGAGCAGAAAATTATGAACCTGGAGAATCTGCACATGTACCATACATTTATGGAATTATTCAAAATTCTTAAATTTGATGTCCCCCAGTCGATTAAAGATCTTTTCAAGTTCTGTCCTAGAAATGAAAAACTTCGTCTGATTGTCCCATTACTGAGGTTAGATATCTCCCAACAAAACTTTTTGTACACCTCTACGAAAATTTGGAATGACCTCAGCCCCTATGTATTCGAAATATGTGATGCTAATGTAGATGGGTTGATAATCCCGGGTTCTTCCAAGAATTCAGACTTATCAGCTTCGTCAGGTGTTATTAAATCTAACCTTAAAAAGCACTTGCTATCCCTCCAAAATCGAGATGACCCTAATACATGGTAACTAATCTATATTATATCTCAAACTCTACATCCGGTACGGCTATGCACACATGATATCTCTCTCTGCCATGAAACATGGCTAACCTTTTAAACTGTGATTCAAAACCTAAAGCTAAACTAAAACTCAACTGGGCTCTCCTTTGTCACCAAACTAAACCAATAAGTAATTTAAGATTATTATATTTTTCTATATTTGTATACTGTAATTAGTATATTGACGTAGTGGATGGTTGAGGGGGTTTCAAGCACAGGTCACTCTCAAATCCTAAAGATAAGCAGTGGCCTTCGGCACTTGAAACCTCTTCAAACCTCCCCTGATTTATTTATTATTGATATTGTTTGATTGTGCCGTAAAAATAAATATTTGTTTTATTAAATATTTGTTTTATTAAAAGCATCTTTGGCAATCTCTTTGAGTTTGTAGCACCCTTTCCTGTTTTTATAGTTTTACCTCTACCTGTAATTTGAATTTTGTTATAAAATATTATTAACCCACCACTATGAAGGGCAGGAACCGAGAATGCCCCAATGTCATGACAATTTTACGACAAGATGTGTCAATATGAGCAGGGAATGACAGGGAATGATAGGGAATGACAGGGAATGACAGGGAACGACAGGGAAAGACAGGGTATGATAGGGAACGACAAGGAATGACAGGGAATGACAGGGAACGACAAGGAACGACAGGGAATGACAAGGAATGACAAGGAATGACAAGAAATGACAAAAAATAACAAGGAATAATGACAGGGAATAACAGGGAATGATATGGAATGACAATATTCAACAAACCATAGGAAAAAGGGGCACTCTCAGTCCCTACTCTCTGAAGTAATATATTAGGATATAATTTGTAATTAAAAAAAAAGATGTAGGACGTAGGTACCTGATCACCAGCGGTAAAACCACTGACTATATCTCCCCTCCAAACACAAATGGGTTGGTAAGTAGTTTGGAAAGGCCCCGCTTTCTCTAATATCAATTTGACATGGGTGGTGGCTTCACCAAGTGCAAATATAATGCAATAAAATACACAATCCATTTGTATATCGTTCGTGATGAGAAGTATAAATGAAGGAACGAAATTGAGAAGTTACTTTCTGTCTTCATACATGGGTATTTATACCCTAATCAAAAATACCAAAGGTTATGTAATTTGAGGTAAATTTTTCGAGCATACAGGTTGCAACCATACCCTAATATTGAATAATTCTAGTCTTATCTGTTATCAGCAATCTCACAGAAATTTAAAGTGAAGTTCTGCAGAAAAATACGAAAGGTAATTATGAGATTCTAAGAATTCCTCTGTATTTAACTCAACAGTCCAAACGCTCCTATTCTGGACTGATATCTCCTCTACCGGAGTAAAAACCTCCTCCGTGGACGCAGTGGACGCCTCCTCTACTGCAGACTAAACAGCTCTTTTCAAAAAGTGTCACTCCAGATAAATGAAAAAGATGGCCTTTTTTGAACAATATTTCGATGTCCAAGTATTTCATAACCTTCAGTGCATAATTAATACAACAGTTCGCTTAAACTGTTAAAACTTAACGGGGAATGACTTTTTATATTTGTGCAGGAAACTTGATTGAATTTGTGCAAATTATGGTGTGTTAATCGCTCGCATCTGAATTTTGATGAATCCTGACATTTAATACCAAAATATGTAATATAAATTATCAGATTTCTGGTTCATGCCGGCTGCACTGTGTCCTACTACCCTGCTCGATTATCTGACGCTAAAACTTCTCCAGTTCAAGCTACACATTCACAACTTCAGTAATTACTAGCTCCACTGATTCTCTACATTATATTTCCCTGGTAACCACGTCAACAGAGCACCCAGTGACTAACTCTAGTTTTATTTCTGAATTATAACTTTCCGCGATGTTGCTTTTATTCGTTTTCATGATCTTCCTTGTGTTCCCTGTTACCGAAGCAGTGGACAGAAAGTACACCGCCCTGCAGTTTGGGACCACTTCAAGTGACTACATAACATTTAATCACGACATGACCCCGTTCCGTACATCGTTGACCCTCTGCTCCTGGGTTAAGCGAGTACTCACCTCATCCCCCTTTCCGATGGTGTTCCACTACGAGACGAGATCGAGTTTTCTTGAGATATTTATTTCACCTCAAGGGTTATACAACAGAGTAGCAGGAAATAGTGTTTTGGGTGGCTTAAGTAGAAAATTCACTACCCCGGCCGGACAATGGTTCCACTATTGTTTGACTTGGTCCTCCTCCTCACGGACTATGCAGCTCTACCTGGACGGGGAACTAACAGCTAGTGCTCAGACTACATCAGGAAGAGAACTGTATACTAGTGGGACTGTGTGGTTTAATATACGGCCTAAAGCTGTTAGTGATAGGAATAATTATGTTTTTGGAGGCCAATTATACAGATTTGATATGTATACAGAGGTGCTGAGCTCGGAGACAATAAAAAGAATAGCAGACGGTGGTTTGTGTGCTGAAGTAGAGGAGACTATCAGCAGCAGACAACTCCGCTGGGAGGACGTGCTGGAAAAGCCAAGAAATGGGTCTGTGGTTGAGGTTACCGGGTGTGATATGGTACCTAAGGAATTCATGGAGAGTCGGTTAAATGAAAAAGAAGTGCAACTAAAGGCATTGGGGGAACAATTGGATGCAGTTACTAGTAAACTCAACACGACTGAAGGCGATCTAGAAACACTGACCAGTAAATTTAATAGCACAAAGGATGAGTTACAGAATGTAACAGGCCGACTTAATCGGACAGAAGATGATCTAGAAACACTAACCAGTAAATATGATAGCACAAAGGATGAGTTACAAAATGTAACAGGCCGACTTAATCGGACAGAAGATGATCTAGAAACACTGACCAGTAAATATAATAGCACAAAGGATGAGTTACAAAATGTAACAGACCGACTTAATCGGACAGAAGATGATCTAGAAACACTGACCAGTAAATATAATAGCACAAAGGATGAGTTACAAAATGTAACAGACCGACTTAATCGGACAGAAGATGATCTAGAAACACTAACCAGTAAATATAATAGCACAAAGGATGAGTTACAAAATGTAACAGACCGACTTAATCGGACAGAAGATGATCTAGAAACACTGACCAGTAAATATAATAGCACAAAGGATGAGTTACAGAATGTAACAGGCCGACTTAATCGGACAGAAGATGATCTAGAAACACTGACCAGTAAATATAATAGCGTAAAGGATGAGTTACAAAATGTAACAGACCGACTTAATCGGACAGAAGATGACTTCCAGAAGATCAAAGTAAGCCTAGAGTCCGAAACTGCCAAATTTAACCGAACAGAAGACGAGCTCGAAAGGACCAAAGTTAGTTTGGAGTCTGAAGTGACCAGATCTAATCGGACTAAAGAAGAGCTGAACACATGCGCAGCAGAATTAACTGTCTCTAAATCTCAAATGGAAGGAGTGAGAAGGTTCCAGAACATCACGAAGTGGGATTTTCTTTACACGGGCCCTTACATTAATAAAGTGTTCACTGAGGATGTTTTGGAGGACCTGAAATCTTCGTGGAATTTAATGAGTAATTGAACTTAGAATTACTGTTATGTAAATTTTATAGCTGTTATAGTGTTATACTAAAGACAACATTAAACATTTAATCATACAACTTTCTTACTTTATGTGCATTCCAAAATTTTATTGAATTCCGTAAAACCCTACACAACTCTAATTGTTTAGGTGAATTCGTCGGGGTCAACATCACAAATGAGATAGCGGAACACTTGCGAACACACGATGTTGGTACTGCTAAGTGCGGTGCACAAATGAATGACATCTTTTCCATGTGGGGTGAGGAAGATTAATATGTAGTTAAATTTATGATCCCCTAGCCCCATACCCTCGATTGAATTATTACCACTATAAGCTTATAAGTATAATCTAGAACTGCTGGTTTTTGTAAAATTTCCGATTAATCAGGTAACCTTCATGAATCACTAGCGACAACAAACATAGGAAATACAAAACTGCATGTATTACTAATATTTTCATAATTACATTTTTTTTTCAGGCGAACTTATGAAGAACGACAAAATGGTGATGACGAGGGGCCTTCTCCAGCACTTTATTGAAAATCACAACGAAGTGCCTTGTGATGAATGAGTTGGATGCTGATCAAGTTTACGATGGAGATTTGAAATTAAAAGAGACCAAGTTCTTGAACGTTTTACGTTATTTTTTATACTAGAACAATAATTAATCTATTAAGGCAAGGGCCGCAAGTTGATACGATTAGCTTGCTCTGATAACACGTAAATGAAAAAATGTCTGATTCTTACTCATAGTCATAGCATGGAATTACTTTATTTAAAGTTAAACTAGCAAGAGACTAAAATAATTAGTTATAATACCTATTTAATTCGCGTTTTTGACACCACTAGTGTTTTTTACCATTATTTTTTTGAGAATGTGAGTTTTTTCACAATATAACCAAATTTGTTATACCTTTTTGGAATGATTGATGAGTTTCGCCTTCGTTCCATATTTAATGACGCGCGCACGGCTTTTGGAGCGTAAAAGTCGCGTAATTATGACGAAATTCATTCTTTTTCGTCGTATTAAGGTATTATTCCGTCACATCTTCGGTTCCTGGAATGGGATCATTCTAGTTTGAAAATTTGTAAGGACCTTCTAGTTGGACTTAAGGAACATTTCGAAAAAGTTGATGGATACGAACCGGCTACGGGCTTAACCACACTGTTATAATACCTTACAACATTATTACAAAACAACATTATTTATTTCTCAACTTTTTATTTCATAAGGCAGGAAAATAAAATAGTAGTTTTTACGAGAAGACACACGAAGCTCACATCTTTTGGACGAAGTATTAGTTCGGTCACGTTAGCAGCTTACGTGATAACTCTATATTATACAATTTTCAGGAACTCGTTACGTCACGTTAATAATAATTTGGTTATCTTATTATTTATTACCTATTAATTTATCGTTAAGCTTACGTTACGTAATTACCTGTTAACCTGACCCGGTAATAAAATTAAAATAAAACATTAAAGTTGTATTGGTTCAGATAGTAAGGTTAAAAGTATACATGCATACATGATACAGCGAACAGCCGATTATACAGAGCATTACAGTGTTACCGAACTTAGTTTGAGCGGCATTTTATGAGTATCAATATCATTAACCGTTAAGAGCGGTATGTCGTACTACTAGTACTACTTTGACAATCTTAGTCGAAGGAATTGCTTAACATTCTTGGTATATGCAGCATGCTGGGACAAGAGATCAGATCTTGTAGACCATCCTTTGTCCCATTAAAGCATTAAGGACCGCCATGTCATCTCTGTAGTCATAACCGCCTCCTTCTCGAATCTCTACTAAAAGCTCTAGCTCCTCTCGAAGCATCAGCCCTTTTAAAATAGCCTTGTGCAATTAAAATTCCAGTTCAGACTCACATTCAAAATGGGTGGCCCCTGCAAATATTTCCTCGTCCAGTTCCACTAACTACTTGATACTTCGAACCACCTCGAAAGCTCACCGGCATGCCTAACTGTAGGCATGCCTACTATAATCTACACTCACAGCACCGTAAAATTTAAAAAACAGCGCGTTTGACCCTCACATATTTCTCTGGGAGATGCGTAGTGACGAAAAGCCTTTCATGTAAATTATCTATTGATGCAGTCAAACGCAGACTTGAAATCAATAAAATTGATGTACAAAGGCAGATTAAATTCCGTACCCTGCCGAATGACCGAGTTTTCCAGAAACCACACTATTTTTCACGCTTCCAAACCTTCCGAGAACCTGGCAAGTACTACCATTTGAAAGAGTTTGGAAGTTGTGGAGTGGAGCATATGCTGGTGTCACCTTTCTTTGGAATAATAGTGATCAGACCTTTCAGTCAGTCTTCAGGAACTCCCAGAATAACTTCAACAATGGATTTGTATTTGTAAGTCCTTGACAGTGGTGTAAAGTTGCCTGTGCCCCCACCCCCCGCCGAAAATGCGCCCCCCTTTTGGCGCCCCTCCTTAAAATTGAACAAATTAGGTGATTTTAGAGGATACGCCGGTAAAATCTTTTAAAAATTGTGTTTCTAGAGCAAAACGCGCAGTTTTGCTAGTACCTCAGTTAAGTTTTTCAAAATTGACCCACATTCCAACGACGATTTTGCGCCCCCTTAAGATGGCGCACCGAAACCCTCCCCCCCCCCCCCCCCCCCCCCCCCCGGCCCCCCGCACGGCGGGGTCAGCGGGGCCACTGGTTCTTGAGCTCAATACTTGAACTGTTCGTTATTAATCCTGTCAATCCCAGGACTCATATGATTCTTTAAATTTATTACGTTACAGTTACACACATGATTTTACAAACATACAAACATATATAATATATATATATATATAAGTCAAACCTGCCCAAGCTAGAGAGCCATGGCAGGGCCAGCAAGCAAGGCCCGGACCAAAACAAACTGATCCGACTGGGTATAGAAAATAGCAATATGGAAACAATATTAACAATAATAAAAGGATATACAAAATATTAAGGAGGGACAAACCGGGGCCCCTCCACGGGCCGAAGAGAAAGGTGATCCTGAGTGTTGGATGTTCTTCTCTTCTTCTTTATTGAGGGTGGACGTGAATTTCCAATCTTGTTTGCTATAGGGGTGGGGGGGTTCTGTTCTTGTGAACGTATAGTCCTGTGTATTGAATGGGTTAATGGCTACCATCAATTATACAAAAGGATGCTAGTCATAAGTTATAAAAAGAGCGACAAAGGGGGGTCGGGTAGGATCGAGGTGAGCAGTAATATGGATCATCTCCCTCATTCAAGCGAGAGCAAAGGGGGTCCGTCAAATGGAAGCTAAAAGAAGGTGGTAAGTCTGTGAGGGAGATGATCTGGCTGTTCGAAAAAAAAAGCTAAGGGGGATCATAGAAGTCTAGGTACTTCGAAATAAGCGCAAATTTAAGTATAGGCTTAGGAAAAACGATGGTGTGGAATATACATGATTTGATGATAAAGTTACCGAATACTTGTTTCCTTGTTAGTGCATAGGCTGGGCATCTGGTTAGGAAGTGTTTTGTAGTTTCTACTTCCTCTTCACATTTGTTGCAGATGTTGGACGGTTCATTACCTATCTTGTTTTGGAAGTGTTTAAGATAACTGCATCCGGTATAGAGATGAGTTAAAATTCTAATATCATCTTTTGATTTTGATAAAATATTCAAATTATTAGAGAAAAGGGTCAGGATGTTGTTGTGGTGAAAGTTGCTGACTGACTTGAAGGTCGAAAGCCTGGCCAGGTGGAGGGGCTTGAAGCGAGTGTCAAGAGTGTTGATGATACATGATGCCGAGTAAGGAGCGAAAGGAGGGGCCCTATAGGTACAGTGTCTGAGCCTTTATTAGCCAAGCTGCATCTGCAAGATCATTACCGAGAATACCACTGTGTGCCGGTGTCCAACAGATGGTGACATGTCTATGGTTCGAGAGGTGCGAGAGTGCTGCAATGGTGTCAGAGACAGTAGCTTATCTGATGGTCGTGGCCGAGAGAGCTAGAATGGCTGCTTTGCTGTCTACGCAAATATGTAAAGCTGCGGAAGAGGGGGGCTGAGATGAAATGAAACATACAAACATAATATAATATTGTAATGTGACACCGCCGTATGTGTGATGCAACATCATATCTGCTATTTCATGTAACTAACAGCTGTTGAGCTGTTGTCTGAGTAGTGACCTAGCTTTTCTGATTAATACTTGTTCTTTGTTGCCGTTTCTTTGCGAATACATTAGTAATTGTTACTACAGGAAATTTTTGCGACACTTCAGTGTACGATTTTCGTCAAAATCGCACAAATTAAGTTAATTAATTATTAATATTAAGTGGGGGGGGGGGGGGGGGGGGGGGGGGGGGTTCACCCTGATTTTTTTGTGAAACTTGGTTTCGAGATAGCAGTTGTCCAACAAACTAAGACCGGTGACCGAACTTTTGAGGGGGTCCCGGACCCCAACCGCCAAACGGTGCCCGCGGGGCAGCCACGCCCATATTTGGTCCAAATTAGGCCCAATTTAGCCAAATACCCTGAACATGCCCAAAATCCAGATTTTAAGTGCTCTCCTTGTAGCTAGTGGTCCCTTGAACTCGTATATGAATTTTCATCAAGATTGGACAAAAAATGACTGAGTTATGAGCAAAAAACCATATGCCCATATTTGGGCATACGCACCAAATTTGATCGATTTTGGTCCATAAATTGGTCAAATATCAATATTTTTGAATGAAACCAACTTTTTATGGAAGGTAAGCCTATACTACACATTCTCTATGGTTATCAGTGCAATGTCTACCTAACTGTAGATTCTGTGTTCAAATAATCGCAAAAAATGAACAAAATCGCCCATATCTCAGTTCGCGACGCGATATTTGCAAAACTGACTTCGCTCAAAACAATAGAACTGAATAGCAGTTGAAACCCTGAATAGGGTTTCAATATTTTTTCATGAAATTTTCAGAATCAACGTAGAATTTTCTCATGACCTTAAGTTTTGGGACAGAATTTTGAGTTAGGCCTTTAAAAAAATTTGGCGGCCAAATTCTAAATTTAGCAGTGCAAAGCTAAGTAAAGTAGTTCGTTTTAATTACATGAAATACTTGAAAGAATTCTTTGTAAATATTTTTTATCTTTATTTAATGCAGGAGCTCTCAGGAGCATTAGAATTTATATCATAGAATTATCATAGAATTTCCAGTAAATGTTTCCCGATCACTTACCGTAGGTTCAGTTTTTGTAACGGATTGTCTACAACCATGATATATTATTAGACTAATTGTGCGAAGTAATCAGTAGTTTTTATAGCAAAAACGTTTAACAATTAATTTTTATTATCATCACAGTGCAATATTTTGACCAACATGAAACGATCGTTAATTGTAATTTTAAATTCTAAAAGGCAATCCCTAAGAGTACGGTTGATGGAAATCTAGCGTCCGCTAACCGGCGCAATTAATTTTTATTATCATCACAGTGCGTATGGCACAGAATGAAACGCAGTTTGAGAAATACCTACGGAATGGAAAAGATATATTTGAGACCTACTGTTTTACTGAAGACGGAAATCCTATCATGTTACCAAGAGCTCCTCAGCAGCAGTATATAGACATCTACCCGAATGAAGATCAACCCGGGAGTAGTTTTAAAAACGACAGAAACCATCAACTAAACTATGAAGCTGAGGTAATTGTCTACAGGGCTTTAGAGAAAGTTGGCAAACCTTTTATTGTTCTTCATAGTTTTGAATACACCCATTTTCAATACCATTT